TGTCTGTCTCCAAATGTACATACCACTGCAGCTCAGCTCAGCTTAATAATGATATTACAGTCAGAAATGCCATTCCTAAACATATCCAGCAATCTCAAACTCATTACCTAGAGACCACACTGAAGGAAGCATCTATCCCCTGAATTACACCTTGGACAAGTGAAAGTTAGCATTAATTCTATCAGAAAAAAGGTCATTGTGTTTCCTCAGCCAACTAAAAACAAAAAATATTAGGTTTTTCACTTGCAACTATTCCCTCCCAATGTGTTCAAATATGAACAATAGGGCACAGTTGAAAAATCGGGGCCCACATGTTTAACAACAGCAAATACCTCTTGACCAATTGCACAGTAGCTAATGAATTCCCCATATCTTAACAATGATCTCTTTCACACAGGAGACTTAAATGTTTCCAATCTGTAGGAAAACTGCCATAATATAAACCTGCAATATTCACAAAACTCATCGCTACTTTGCATGCTTTAATAAATTAGCAGTGAACTAGTAGATGATTGACATCTACACAGAACAAAGCAGAAACACACAACCAGAGCAAAGTAATTTTTAGATGTCATAGCATATGAGCAAAGAGTTGATGTCGTATTTGATATCTACACCAGTATTATTCACATGGATCAAGTCATGAACTCCTTATTTTATGTTACTCAGAGATCACCAGTGCAGATGGCAAATACATGCAACTGGATCACTGTCAAAACTGAAGACAAAGGAAGGCAAAAATGAACACTACACCAGTTTTAAATTGCCTTATGAATTCCCAGAGAAGCTGCATTAAAATTCAACAAAGTTAATAAACCACAATTCCCTTCAGAACATACCTAAACAGTTGTCAGCTCTTGCTGTCTCCAAAGCCTATGCAGTGGATTTGTCCCCACAGTTGTGTTTAAAATAGCAGGACAGAATGAGAACAACAGATTAGTTCCTTGCAATTATAAATGTTATCCTTTCAAAGATGCTAACTTCAAAAACGGTATACTGGGAAAAGTAACAGAATTGTAGAACTTCAGTAAGACATAATTATAGCCCACAAAATTAAACGCCTATACTTAAAAAAAAAAAAAAAAAGCTTCAGATTCTGGCTAAAAGAACCTGTCTACCCAAAAATCCACTGAAACCACAAATAAATCAGGTAAACAAGCTGCAGTATATCTTGAGCTTTACAAAAACAATTATTTTCCATTGGATGTTTTCCAGTCTGACACTGATATTTTTCTGATCTCCTGACTGTTTTCATTATTACATTTACTTTCCCCATAGTGCTTCCAAATCTTCCTCAGACATTTTATGCATTTCTACTCCCACGCAAAAAAAATTATAAATCTTTATATTAATTTTCTCAAGTGAAAATAAGTCTCTCACACATGACTTTTGACCCCTTTTCTTTAAGGAATGACAATTCATTATCTGTGTCCAAACTATTGAAACATTAACATATTTTTTTAATTCAGTCATACACAAATTTCACATCACCTTGTTGCAAGAATAGTCAGGTTCTTTATTAAAAACTTAGATAATCTGTCTGATAAATAGCACTGGGATGACCTGGTAGCCAAACAATATATGTTACTGACCCAACCATATCAGTAGCATCACATTAGGCTTTTCAGTGTTTGTTTTACTCTGATGCTCACTTTAAAGTTCATGAAATAAAAACAAACTGCCATCAAACATGTTTTGGTAACCATATTCAAAAGACAATACAAATACAGTCCACAGATCTCGATGGTCTTAAGAGTTGTACTTAACTTTCAAGCACTTTCAAGTGCTTCAAAAGAGTCACACCACAGTGCATCTATTTGTAACAAATAACAACAAAAAAAATCAACCTTTGATAAGTCCTCCCCTACTCTTTGTAAAAATGTGGTGAGCTAAGCTCTATATAAATGTGACAGCCAAATCCAGGAACAAAGACATGCAGTTGACCTACAGTTTAGGGCCATGCTTGTCTTTAATATACAAAAAGTCCAGCAGACAAAAGAAAAAAGGATGTTAGAACAATCTGGTACAATCCACTTTTGTGTAGGATCACCAAAAAGCATCTCTATTTGATTAGGAACATAAACCTATACATAAGAGTTTTTGGTTGTTTTCTCCTCTTTCTCACAAACGAAGTTTATTTCACAAAGATAAATTACCCTCTTGGCATCTAGAAAATGACATAATAACAGCTGTTAACTTGCTCTAGAACTAGCAACATGCATTGGCAGTTTCACAGACATTTTGGATCTTGAGGATCTGACATCAGAACGACAGCCTTCTAAGAGAAGAAAAAGTACTTTTTCTTTGCTGCTTAGGAGATGTTGTCTGCTTTTTAAATTATATGTGCATATTCTTAAAATGCATATTCTTATATTCACAGTAAGACCAGCTTACATTTGGGATTGACTCCCTCAATCTGTGCAGAATCAAATTCAGCTAAAGTCAGATTAAAGTTCTTTACTCCTTATTTAACCTATTCTTTGAGAGTACCTAGAAGAACTGTTCACAAAAGAAGGAAATTCATACCAAGGGTAAAACTTTCTATTTACTCTGCAAACCCACTGAAGAGTCATATTCTACCACAGCCACTTCCTCATATTTGGTTACCTTTCCATAAAACCTTTCATACAAAGAACCACAGGAACAGCTCAGGTTGGAAGGGGCCTCCAGAGATCACTGGGTCCAATCTTTGTGGGAAAGGGAGCCTAGATGAGATCACCTAGAACCCTGCCCAAATGCATCTTGAAGATCTCCAGTTGTGGGGACTCTGCCACAGCTCTGGGGAGACTGTTCAGTGATTGACTGTTCTTGCTGTAAAAATATTCTTCCTTACATCAAGGTGAAACCTTTCCCAGTGCAACTGCACCCCTTGCCCCTTGTCTTTATCATGTAGCTCCCTCATGTAGACCAACCTCCCCTCCACAAAGGAAAAAAAAATTACAGTAAGAGCAGCAAGTAAAACTGCTTGTGGTCTTTGGTGGGGTTCAGCTAGAGGATAGATGGGTACAATGGGGAACAGGACTGTTGCTTGGAGGGCCTATAAAAAGCTGGGGGAATGGGCCTCATGGAGATCAAACTCAACACCATGCAACAATTAAGGCCTGGGCAGCAGCTCTGCAGAAAAAGGTCTGGAGTGCCTGGCTGATAAGCTCCTGGCTGATGAGTCAGTAGTGTGCTTTTGCAGCAATCAAGGTGAAAGACTCAAGTATGTAAGGTGGATACAAATTCTTGTGTACAGAGAAAGTCTAAACTTCAAGAAGTTGCTGAAGGAAAACCAGGCAGCGAAAGTGACAGTAAACATTGAAAACTGACCTGAAAAACAATGCTGGCAGACTGTAATTTTCCTTGGCAAAACTGCTTCAAAGACACATCTGCTCCCCTATTATGAGGTAATGCCCAATAAAAATCAGCAAGGGCTGCTTAGTATCTTGTCTTTGCAACATTTTCCTTCTTCTGCATCAGTGATACAAATTTCAGTCCAAGAATATTATTACATTGACACTGATTTCTAAAAGCTACTAAACTGGCCTTCACAAGTTGAAGAGCATCCTTAACCAGAATACACATTCTTAATCATTCCCGAGATGTCCTCTATAACAAAATAATTAGAGAGTCCTATATAATTGTCTCCAGCAGTCATCCTAAGAATTTGGCTCTTGAGTTCTTCAAGCAAAGATTATTACCCCTGCCATATAAGCCTACCTGTCTACCCGAGACACTGGAAACCAGATAACAGCAATATTTTGATTTGTCTGTCTTACTCTACCACTAATAAAAGAAACATCATAAGCACAATCATATCCAATAAAATAGGTCAGAAAAGAATAAACAAACAAGCAAGAAACCAATTTTCATCAAGAAATCGTTAGCTCAGTTGAAAGAAATTAAACCTACTCAAAGGGAAGAAAAATATATCTGAAGAAAACAGAAATCATCCTAAGTAACATTTGAAAAGGCAAGATAAACCTATTGTATCAGCAATAGAAATATGCATAATAGTTCCAAACAACCTAAACTGAACCAGCAGGAGCTGTTCACAGCATCTCACAGCTCACTGTGGACTAACCCACACCGAGGTCCCTGTGATGCCATAACTATGCTGTTAAGCCAGACCAGCTCAGGCACCTCTAGAATACCATGCCAGCTCTGGTTAATCATTAATCATGGCCTAATCAATAGGATTATAGAATAATAGAATGACAGACAAGCTCTTCACAACACAGCTCCTTGTGGGCTCACCCAATGAGCCAATGAGTCCCCTATTTTCTGTGCTGGAGCACATTCAGATACCAGACTGCATGTCCTGCACAGCTTTTCACAGTCATGAACTCGTGCTCTCTTGTGTGCTTATTTAACAGAGCCCCCAAGATAATTTCTCCACAACTGTATTTGAACTGCCAACCTGCATTCGGATCAAATAATACCAGAGATCTGAGAGCTCACTTGAAAAAACATCTGCCAAGTAATTGTTTGTGTTAAACACAGCTGTCTTACAAAAACTCTATGAATAACTCTATATTCAGCATTATATGCCAGCACTTGCATATTGCAGGAATTTAGAAGGCTTAGTCACAGGAATAAATCTTTGCAATTCATTAAAAAGACAAGAAATGTTCCAAAAAGTTGACTCCCATTTAAGACATCCCAACATAATGGCATAAAGAGTCGTAAAATATTTAAGCATATACATTTGTAGGTTTGATTTATTTCTAAAATACTTATCATTATACTTCTAAACAATAAAACATTTAGCAAATAAGCCTATCATAAAGTGGACTCTTCTTAAATTAAATTCAGTATTTAACAAGAATTAGGGGCAGCAACCTTTCCAAAATTTATAACAATAAATAGCTGCTAAAGCAGGTTTTTTTTTAAAAAAAAATATATTTCATGAGGGTAAACAAATCAATCTGGCAGTTTAAATTTTGCTATGCTCCACTGAAATGTACAAATGCTGAAAATATATGCAATAGGATAAAAGGGGCAAACAGAATGCTTACTTTCTCTAAATGCTTTACAGTAGCCAAGGAATGACAACAAGAAGAACAGGGCACACAGTAGGTCAGCTCTGCCAACAATCCCAGCAACCTTTAAAAAAAAAAAATTATCAGATTTTTATTCTTAAAAAAACTGAAGTAAAGGAACACATAAAAAGTGAAATATATAATAGAATATAACTGTATCACTTTTTTTTTCTTTAACTTGGTTTACTGGATTAGTCATATCCAGTTTTTAAGATGCATCCTATTTTTTATTGGGTATTGCTTAGTATCAACTACATAAATGGTTTGTCTTTGGTTTATGAAAATTTTAGTTTATGGAATCTTTTTTTAAGAAATGAAGGAGGACTTCACTGAATAAAATTTAGACTCTACACAATTCCATCTGTTTTTTGGATCAAATTGCATTTCAGCAGAACACTTAGAGAACATGAAAATATAAACCAGTTTGGGTTGTAACCAACTTTAAATACCATCTCCTTCCAACCTCCCCCCAGCCTTTCACTAGACCAGGTTTCTCAGAGCTGCATCCAACCTGGCCTTCAACACTTCCAGGGATGGGGCATCTCTAACTTTTCTGGGCAACCTGTGCCAGTGCCTCACCACCCTCACACTAAAGAATTTCCTCCTAATATCTAATCTAAATCTACTCTCTTTCAAATTGAAGCCATTACATGGCTTGGAAGCCAAACATCCTGAACCACAATTAAATTGGCAGCTCTGCTGAAACACAAATCAAAACTGTTCACTTTTGGAAGACAAGCCAGCCTTCAAATTACAATCTGAACACTCAGAATGGACAAATAGCTTCCAGCTTGCAGATTCAGGGGAAAAAAAAAAAAATCATCCCCCTCTGGCAGTCTTTTGTGTTATATTAACTGACTGCATAAGAGCTACCATCAACTGCATCTTGAAACAGAGGTTGTACTAATGCAAAAGAAAACAAGAAGCACATCCTGGGACCTCTGTACCCAAGATCTGTGCCAACCTATTTAAATCAAGTGCAATCTCAGGGCTATCTGTAAGCTTTGGTTAAAGCCTCTAAACTGTATTTACAATAACTTGCTGAGACAGAGCAAGACACTTTTGGATCTTCATTTCTTAATTACACAAGTGTCAGGATAACACCACAAAATTTTTGTGAAAATCATGACATGGAGCTGGTATGGGACTGTACAGGCCCTGATGCTGGAAACTCACTAGAACATGCACCCAGAGCAAGGATCATGGAAATGCCCCTTATTTTTCAGTCTAGCTCTGCTTCCTGGAGTGCTGAGTTCCATGTTTTCGGGAGATGTACAGAAGCAGGGCAGAACTGCTACAGGTTTTCTTTTTAAATTCACTTTTTGTGATCATATTTCAGGGACAAAAGCAGGAACTTCAGTTCTTGCATAAGATACCAGTTGTCCCATTTTGTGTATGGAACAGAAAAAGGAAAGTAAAAAAGAAAAGGGCAGTTTTTGTGTCAGGGTAGCATGATGGAACAACTATTTCTAAATAACATCAGAGAAAGAGAAGTGTATAGGCATGAGAGTATGACTGATTCCACTGCAGAGACTCTCTCCCACTTTTACCCTCAGCTTCACTTGAGCACTGTAAAAGAAGAAACTGTTGGACTCCTAAATTCAGTTCAGAAGAACTTCTTGATTTATCTACAGCTGTGCACCTGACTTCTCTGCTGCTTCCTCTTCTATCATACAAAGGAATTATGAGAATTAACTCAATAGCTGTGGAGTGCTTTGAAAGGTGAAAAAAATGAAGTGTCATTCTGCTTCAGGAGCCGCTCTTCCTAATGAGATAAAAGTTAAGGTGAGCTGACACAATTTCGAAAATAAATGTCCACTTGTTACAGCAAAGAGACTAAAGGGCTAATAATGCACATGGCCTCAGATGACTCCAACAGCAAAACGTTAACCTAAAATGCAACACAAGGCATATAGATTCTGGTAAGAAAGCAAACAAAGGAAAAAAAAAACAAACCAGTTTTAAATTAGTATCAGATATATTCTTATGTCCATGATTCATTTAGCATTTCAACACTGAAGTGTTACAAAGAACAGGCCTTTTCTTAGAGCAGAGAACTATAGCACAAGACTATTCATTTGTAGGTAGAAAAATTTAGTGTTTTCCTTACATAGGTACTGAAAGCATTACACCTTTCAATATCTGTTTTATAAGACAGTTTGTTTCACTGTATAAACCAAAACCCAAAGCAGCAAACAGACGGATTCTTCACAATTTTATGTCAAAATATGTCATCTCATTTCAAAACCAGGATGTCGGATACTTAAAACTAACAGGTTTAAAATCATAAGGAACGCTTTTTAAGAGATGCTGCCAGACACACACTCATCCTAGAACTGTAGCAGTATAATGGCTTCTTCACTGGAGCAAGATTTATTATTCACCATGCAAATGATTAGAGGCTTTTTTTCATTCCTGGATTTTAGAAGAGGCCTGAAATATAAGTGTGCTACTTTTCCCCCCTCTTCTTACACGGTTTGCCTGAAACACTTGCAAGTCTTCAAATATGCAAGCGGACCACATCACTTGTAATTTATTTGACATGACAAAGGGCTTATTAATATTCTCATGCTGATTTAAATATATTCTTAGAGTCAAATGGAATGAAGAATAAATTTATGGATATTGATAAAGGGGTCACTAGTAGGTCTACTACTAAGTTAAGACTCAAGTGAGATTTCTCTTTACATGTCAGAACATCAAAAGCACTGAAGACTTGTTTTACTTTTCTCTGACATCTAGAACTGGTTTTGGAGAGCAAATATGAAGGGCCCTTCTGACACGGTGCATTCTCACAAAGAAGTTATTGTGCAGGCGAGTGAACACCAGAGAATGATTGTCAAGACGTTTTAGCCACACTGCCAGAAAAGGTGTCAAATTACTAATGCATAACTTTGCACCATCTCTAGGTCTTCAATAGATGCAAGGTCTTCATCAGCTTAGAGCACAGCTTTCAGCAACTTTTTCCTCACCAATTGTGTGCAGAGCAAATGCAAGAAGCCAAAACCAAGGCATATTGTGAATAAATGAAAAATCAGTGCCACATATGTAGAATGTGCACTGTAGGATTCACTGTTCATTGCTAGGACAAAATCAAAATTAAAGGCAGTACTTTTTCTGTAGCTCAGACCTTCCAAATTCTAATAAAACCCAAAAAAAAACCCCTAATTGTGATAATTTTATATCTCATTTATTCATTATCACAAGATCAAGAAATCAGTGATGACATTCAGCAAGCCCACTAGCAAAAGGCCGTAAGATTTCCTTAACTATGAGCACAAAAGAGCCTTTTAATAACACCATCTTCTCTTCACAGAATTCCCACCCAAGGACTTTGTGTTTTGGTCAGATATTTTAACTGGCTGCTATACATGTGCCATGCTTCTCTTCTGCATCTTCACATCTTTGCTTTTGCCTGCACTATTAAAGGACCTATTACTGTCAAATTTGTGTTCCCCACGTAAATAATTACAGATTGTGATTAAAAAAAAATCCTTTAATCTTCTCCTTCATATTAAAAATATAAACCCAGTTTGATCTCTCATGAAATAGGATGATTTCCAGCCCTTTAATCATTTTCATGGCTCTTCTGAGCACTCTCCATTTTTTCCAATGTTTGTCCTTGCAGCTTGGATGCAAAACTGAATGCAGCGTTCTAACAGTCACATACAAAGTTCATAGAGTGCCCCTACTCCAATTTTAAAACTCTTTGCTTTTTTTAATCAATGCAAATGGAAATGAAAAGTAATTAGGGAAATCCAGGAGGTAGGGAAACTCTGTAGTGCAGTGCTATCCTCCTTTAGTTATTGTATACTTGAATGATTTATCTTCCTTAATAAGGTCTAGCTCGGTGGAATTACAAGCCTTGGAGATACTAACCATAATATTTGATTGTTCTATTAAGACATGTGCCAAGAGAAGTGTTAAGAATATATAAAAGCAATCTGTAGAGTATAAGGCTACACCAGAATTAATTAGTCAAGACGGTCAAGAACTTCTAAAATAAAAATCTCTGGAGATAATTATTCAATACTTACACACTCGGTGTGCACTGGATGTACAGCAAAGAGCAAAGCAGCAAGAAGAGAGGACTTGGGAGCCAGGTTTAGCCGTCTTCCTTTACTACTGAATTGCAATCCACCCAATAATATGGAGAACACATCAACCATCAACACTGAGATGATGCAATGCAGTATTATATTGATGACATGGAAACCAACTGGGTAGAAGCCTCCAGCAAAAAGGTAATTAATTCTATATAGAAACAAAAATATTAAGGCTAGGAATTACAACAATGCTTAGAAAAATACAAATAGAAAAACTAAACAACCCCATAGCAGACATTTGCACACAAAAATAAAACAGACATCTCAGTACACCTGATGTTATAATTTAGCCACAAAAAGAAGATGGAAACAATATCCCAGTCTGTAGGCCAAGGTATTCATAGGGAATGTCACATGGATGCAGTATCTATCCTCTCCAAACACACACCTACCTACCATTATGTTAATCATTCCTATAGTTACTTAGACTTTCCTATAGTTACTGGCTCTCGGTCAACAATGTAATTTCATTGTTGCAACACAGGAGTATCCTGGGAATAAATAACCCAGCCCACTGAGGGATACCCCTGGGTTTAAGAGCAGCCAACTTGATGAAATTATGTTAATTAAATGCACACAGTGAGGAAACTAATATTCACTGGGACTATGATTTCCACTGATGTACTCTCTGAAAGAGGTCCTAGCATGTGGGTACAATCAGTATCTACCCAGAAAGTAGTCAGCACATCTTGGTAACTGATTTGAGACTGATTAGAGAGACATTTCATACAAGTATTAGAATCAGAAGGAAGAGCAAGTGAAAATTCAGTCTAAATCCCTATTCGAGACAGGAACTCTGCAGTAAAATGGAGGCTGAGAAGAAGAGGGGGAAAGATTGTGCTATTATCCTTATGCTTTTTAGGTAGGTAAGGTACACAGAAATTCAGTTTGAATAGGGAATTTTACACAGTTATTTTGGTTAATCTGCATTTGGCATAAATAAAACCTATTTAAAAACTTAACCTATTATAAATATGATACACATAAAGGTTGGAGCTTAGGGAAATTAAGGAAATCCATTTCTTACTTGTGAAAATACCATTTTATAGACCATCTCCACAGGCTCATCTATACTTTCAGATATAGTAATGATTGTATCCCAGTTCACTCTTTAAACAAACCAGAATGTTATTAGAGATGGAATGTACCACAGAGACAAGAAGAAAAAAATAAAAAAAAAGGAAAGCAAGTTCTGTATAAAGCACTGTAAGATTTTATAGGTTTAGGAATCTGACCTATTCAGTTGCTTACTTCTCTTGATGAAAATGTGAAGTAAGCCCAACAGACAGTGAAACCCACAGTGCTAGGTACTTAAAACACTGACATGCCCCTAAAGGGTCAAAGTTTTTGCTTGAATATGAGGACTAAGAGCAGGAACACTTCTTCTGCACTTACTTAGTCCCTGGTTTGGAACGGGCAACACAGAAGAGCACCAAGTCCCCACTGACACCATTGAGTCACAGGGGGAAAATAAAGAAATTAAGGCTTCCTCAAATATTCTCTGCATTACTGTACCAGGTTTCTACAAGGTCTACTGTTTGCTCAAATCTTTGTGCAAAAAACATGAGCTAAGCATCTACAAAAGTAATCCTCTTAAACCTTTAGTTATTTGACAGAACCAGCAAGTTATATATTGGCAGACATTTCACTAGATTCTCAGACCCTCGAGTTAGAATATTGGAGTGAAGAGGTGGGAAGACTATAGAGTGATCTGGCAGAAAAAGGCCACAGTACCTTGATGCTATTTATAAAATACACAATTTGATAGGTCAACAGGAAAGCAGAGAACAAAAACTACAATAGCAGCCTAAGTGGCAGCATGGCTAAGTGAAAGGAACATACACCTTCTAGTTCCTCGATGGTGTGACATACTAAACCACACCACCCCTAGTACCAGGTATAGAAGTCCATTAAGACAAAATCTATGGAAAGTAGATAGAAATACAGAATGTCAAAATAATTAATATTTTTGGAAAGAAACCATTGGAAAATTAAAACATCATTTGAGATTAAGGTAGTGAACTCAAAAATCGTATTCTGGAAAGGTATCCAACTACCCTCCAGCTACTTTGTTCTTGCCTTTTCTGTTGCCTTCCCCCTAAATTCAACTGAGACAATATAGGTTAAAAAATATTCAGACCTCGAGCAAAAATACAAGTCTCACCTGAAAGTCAGGACAGTTAGCGGTCGATATGACTTATGGCTGGTATTGCTGCTGAGTTTGCTACCCCAAAAGTCATGATACCACAGGTCACCAAGTGGGGTTTCTGCCCTGAGGTCCTAAAAGAAAAGAAAGTACCAGATTCTTAAAATTTTTCCTTTGTTCAAAGCAGCTAAACCACAAACAAGTTCTGACTAATACAAGCTCACACTAAGATGGGCATAGCAGGAGTTTTGTTGGCTCACTACCGGCATTTGCCCCACGGTGCCTAAGTTTGCAATGAAGGTCCCATCTTGAATGGCTGTCATTGTAAGGGCCACGATCCTGGATTCTGTAAGTAGGCATAACTACATGAAATTTAGAGTTATATTCACATCAGGTTATAATCTGGTCAATAGCCGAGATATGAAACAGATAAACCTCTTTACCTTATAATTTTGTAAAAAGCCTTTGATTTTAGGTGTAGGTTTACTTGCAAAGAAGGCCAACTACAAACTGCTGCAAAATAGCCGTTTTTTACCAGTGCAGTAGCATAACCACTAATGAAAACATGAAATCAAGGAGGCTTAAGGTAGGAAACAACAATTAGCTATTTTTTGAAGCCTTGCCTTGCACAGAACTATTCAAATAGTAGAGGTTGTTTTAATTCATGAAATCAAGAATCAACATCTCTACATACTGCTCTAAAAGATTAAAAGACAGAAAGGTAATGAATTGTTTTAATTCGGGGTGCAATAGGGGCCTATAAAATAACACTGCAAAGAAAAAGTCTTGCTTTCTTGCTCTTCCCTTTTATCTCAAAGCCATACTAATAATGAAAAATCCAAATAATGTAGGCTATTAAATGGAAAGCATGCACTTTGGAGGAAAAATGAAGGATCTTGCTAGCATCTGCCTCAGTTTTCTATAAGGAAAAGCTTGGAAGTTAAAACTAACATATTCTTGCCCTTCTTCTGCTTCCCCAGTGCAATTAAATACCAATTTATGCTACGGCAAAGGACATGCAGGTTAAAGACACTTGAGACAGAACCTAAGAACAAAGTACTACTCCTGCAGTCAACAAGTTACTCTACCTCCACCTTCTGTCTTGAAATTATTTGAGACCAATGAACTACAGCTGGTGAACAAGACACTGCAAACACAAGTAGACAAACAGGCTGGCTAACCCCACAAAAGGTCTTACAAACCCTGGTGGCCCTGTCTTATTGTTCCTACAACTCCACCTATTTAAGATTCTCACATTGCAATTCCCTCGGTTTATTAATTCTCACTTGCTTCTATAGTATCTTGAGCACTCATGTGGTCTCCAGAACCTTCCATCACATCCTTAGCTAGTATTTTTGGCTTGCACATACTCCCAAATTACAGCCAAATTGCTGGATCCTGATGACTGGCAGCTGCTAAACTAAACTTAAAATAACTAATTTTTTTCTTGCTTCTTTAACAAGAATAGTCTTAACATATTCTTTTATCCATCCAAAAATACAAATTAAAAAGCAATGCAAGAAGAGATTTATTTCTATCACTTGATCAAATTTGGCTAGTATTAGACAGCTGATTGAAAAAAAATTAGGAAGGAAATAGGCTAAAGTTCTTAGCACACAGTCAAATGAACTGAAGTATTCTCTAGCAGGTTACTAATCAATACACAGAAAAGAGAGCAGGGCTAAAACTGCAGTCTGAAAAAAACCTAGACTGCAGCTGTCAATTAAGGCACTCTCAGGGAATTTCTTAAGAAATCAAGACTCACAGGGGATCCTACTTGGGCTTAAAAATTACCAAGGTGAAAAATTTCTTCACGCTCTCACAGATGTTTCTACTGCCAAGTAATAGCTAGAAATTTCTTTTTTCTCCCAGGACTGCTATTTTAGCCTTAGGCACCTAAATTCCTGTTCCATTCCTCATTGGTATGCACAAACCCTAAAGGTCATAATTTGACTCTCAGAGCAGGAATACACTCAACCAGCAGCTCACTAAATCAATACAGCCAGCTTTTCCAGGGGCAAGCTGGGACAGGGATGGACACCAGCATCCACTGAAATCTTTGTACTCTGCAGGGGACACTTGTCAGAGGGTGGTGTGGCCCTCAGACTGCTTTTCCAACCAGCAGCACTGCCCCTTATGTACATAAGGTCTTTCTTCTCACATGAAAGACATACTTTTATAAATGTTAGTACTGAAAAAAGTACATCTTCCACGTCACACAGATGGTCTTCAATAACTTGAGAAGGGAAATGTACAAGGCTTGATTTCTGGTTCCGCTATAATCAGCCTTCTTTTGTCTTCCATCGGAAGAATGCAGGAAAAGCTGAATGCATGGAATTACTTAGTGATTAGATTATACTTCCATACGACCTAAAAATCTTCAATCATGTATCTTGCCCTTGTATCCAAGTTCTGTAAGAAAGTTTCTTACATAAATTTTCCTACTTCGTGAACTTAGCCTAAAATAGGAACAGTTTGCTCCAAGAGACACAGCTGTTTAAAAGCTACATATGATTTTCTCTTTAAAAACCAAAAGTAGCTATGCAATAATCTCAAAATATTTGATTAGTAGCAACTTACAGACAGCAGAGTTCAAGATTTGAAGAAAGGTCAGTTTTTCTATAAAAAGGCTTATGGAAATGACATATTGTGTCTGAAGCTCTACTTAATCCAACTGTTTGTCTTGCCAAGCTAGTAAATAAATAAAGACAAAAGCCACTGTTGTTTACCAATTAAAAATGCTTAAAATGCTGCTTAAAATTATAAGAAAGCATCTGGAAAACAGCCTTTATCTCCAATAAAATCTAATAATGGAATGTTCCATGATACGATAGGCATGGGGTCACGTGTATCTTTTCCCAAAAAAAAAAATAAAAGAAATGAAAGATTGGGATGATGGCAGCTAGTAAATTAAGAGAAAGGATACTGTGAGGTACCCAAGAAAATGCTACAGTAGCAATGCTCAGTAAATCTAAAATTACTTCAACTGCTGTCTTTCCTATTAAATAGGAATAAAGTATGCTATGCTTTGTTTAATAAACTGTGCCATTGCTAGATAATCTCTCTCCCCATTAAACTGGTAAACTCATTGTCTCTGCATTTTTCTTGTGGATTTTGAATTTCAATATATCCATATGACCCCTGTGTTAAAATGATATTGTCACAAAATCCTCATTTCATTTCTAGGGAAGAACAGAGGATTTTGATGTGAAAAATAGAATAAGCCTCCCAGTTTTTCAAACATACAGACTACATATGGATTAATTTATTTAAGCAGTTGGTTGAATTTCTCAGCATTGCCAACAGCTAGAATCCTGGTGCTAATTGTTGGGTTGCAGAGATAAATTGAAACATTTTTAGAGTAAAGACTGAAAGAAATGGAGAGAGATTACAATTGTGGAAATTGCATATTAACAAAACAACCTGCCTTGTTTCAACATCAGTCTTTTGTTCATTCTTTCACAAAATTAAAATATTATAAACAGGTTGCAAATAAAACTGCAGAATGAAACACTGCCAGGAGCTGTGCAATCTAAAATACAATACTACTTTAAAAAAGCCCAAAACAACAATGCTATAAGTTCTTAATTTGTCTACAGTATTCTCTTGAAAGCTTTGAGATTTATTTCCATGTTGACAGATGTATTTTTCCCCCATACATTTATAACTGAAGGTATGATGACTTGCACACACATAATAGAAATTTGTCTAAGGAAACAGTAATTCTGCATGATTCTAAAAGGCACATTGTGATAAGTTGCCTCTATATCTTGTGCAAAGAAAAAAAAAATGAATTGCGTTCTTCTTGCAGAAGGAGTCTCCGGATTATTCTCTTTCTAACCCCATGGCTTCAGGAAGACTGAACCAACAGATGAATGCAATTATTTTTATCCTGTGCCTTTTCTTTCTAAACGTTTAACAAGTACCTTCCAGAACAGCATAAAAGCTGTAACACCGATACCCATCCATGGGCACAGCCTCACTCACTGCTACATGTGATCCTGTGAAGTGTCCCAGCAACTGAAGACACTCCACTGCTCAAAGTCAAAAGAATCTCAGCTAGAGGTTTCTTTCAATCACGTGTTAATTTCTAAGCATTTCAAGGTCTGTTCATTGCATGTATGGTCAGCTTTAAAATGTAACACAAGAATACTCTACCTCAATCTTAAAAAAGTATTGTTGTCACCGGAACTTTAAGGTGGGGGAGGAGGGAAAAAAGGAGTTTTGCTTGCTCCTATAACATTTTTACGGTATAAACTACACCTGAAGACCCCCTGCACCCTACAATACCTTAATGATGCCTTATGTACCTGCAACCAGACTAAGTTTAATCACTGGTCTTATTCTGTGACCCCGAGAAGATAATGAACAAAATCTCCTACTAACATCCATGGGTATCAAAAAAGTTTACTGTACAGTCTCACTGGCTTAGGAATGAGGATAAAATTAGACCTACTGGCAGTCTTGATGTACAGATACCCTTAAACCAAACTTAACTTTAAAAAACACTAAAAACTAGAAAAATTAAGTTAAAAAAAAAAAAAAAAAGTAATACCAAAAGGAAGCTCTTTACTAGGCTGAAACTTTTAGGCCTATTTAGGTCAACTGTTGCATTACTTCTTTTCCTATGACCATTTATGCCACAGGGTGTAAGGAAAAGAAGAGAGACAAACCTTATTATTGATGATGGCTTCAGAATCATCAAAGACAAAATCTCCATCATAGCTGTTAGCAAAACAGAGGAAGGAAATTAATGCCACAACCATTTTAGCCCAGTACGATGGAAGGAGGAACCATGATACGTCATGGTCAAGATTAGGTTCCATTTGTGCCATACTGTGAAATGCTTGTTCCAAGTTGGGAGCTTCAGCATTATGTTGGTTGAAAATCTGAAAGAAACACATATAAGTGAATGGTTACAGCTCTAATTCACCAAAAAAGATTTTTAAAGGAAAGCTGGCTTGGGAGAGGAGATGAAGTTTCATATAACCTTACATTTTTTTTTTCTCGGTGCCTCTCAGCTACTGGAACATACCTAACATAATTTTGTACTTCAAAAGAGGAAGTAAAGGCAAAATTTCTCATGGTTGGAGCACAGAGATAAATACAAGAAATTCTTGGATGCTAAGGTAAAACTCTGGCACAGACAAACTCTAAAACGTAGAGCAAATCACTGTTTTTCTGTTTCTTATTGTTCTTTTCAAGCAATACAAACAGATGCATCAGTGGGGAGGGTGAAGTATTTATAAACTTATGTAGAAAATTACAAACATTATAATTTCCTTCTGCGTTTGACAAGCAAACACTGTCAATTGCCAAAAGAGCCCAATTCCCTTCAGTTAATCAAATTAAAGGACCTAGTCTTACACATTCCCCCATGCAAGGAATTCATACAAACATCACAGATAGACACACATGGAGATAGCAGTTAATGGACTAGGCCCTAAATCTCAACAATTCAAGCAATGAGACAACAAAACCCATAGAACTGAGATGGGACCAGTGTTCAGGAGGTCACTTTGCACGCCTCAAGTGCAGCTGAAATTCCACTGCTGTATTCATGGGCTCACTGAGGCAGATGAAAAAGATCCTGCAATCCAAGCACACTGAGTGATATATCAGTGTGCTTGGATCAGTGGAGGTACTAAGGCTGGAGGTTTTCACCCATTAGACACCTTTACTTGGATGGGTCTCTCTGGATGCTCCAGAGCCAGCCTTCTGTCTGGACTACTACTCTGCCTTCGCTTCTCAGACACTACTGTGAGTGGTCTTATTATCAATTGCTGGTATAAACGGCAAGCAAAGGAGGTTATGAATGGAAAACTGCAGTAAAAGCCAGGCAGAATATGATTTTTTTTATTTTGTAAGCCCAAAGAATGATAAGCTACTACATGTACCCATCTTCAGTCTCTTCTTATTTATTTGCTTGTTAAATCAACTGTTGCACTCCTGAAAATGTTGCACTTAATACTTTCATACAGAGAAATAGAAAATCTAGAAAAATAGCTCCAGTGCACCCCTGCAAACATTGCAGACCGTCTTTGCACGGTCTAGGAAAACAGCTCCAATCATTTGGCTTCTGGAACAGAGCTGACCATTAGAGCTGCTACAAAAATTGCCCTGTAGCTTTCTCTTTTTGCAATACAACATTCCGGTCCCCGCAGATTCCCAATTCCTGCACACACACACGTGCACAGGGACAGGCAATGCACCCTGCCACACCAGTGCCCCTCCTCGCTTTGGAGACCATATGGCGCTGCTCCCAAATTCAGATAAAGTCAGTAACCTGGAGCTGTGCAACCTGAGAGGCTGGAGCTCCCTGGCTGAGCAAAGCAGCTGCTTCAAGAGCAAAACCTTTTCTCGGAGTAGTTCACCCGTGTGCTCGTAGTTTGACGGGAACAAAGAGAGAAAGCATGGCTATTAACTGAGGGAAGTGCACGGCGTCGCTCCCAACAGCATTGATACAGCATCAACACGCAATTAAAATATTTAATCCACTCAAAATCCATTTCGTCCCGAAAGTTTCTCCCATTACGCCTGCTCTATTTATCGGGCGCATAGCTGCTGCCAGCCCTCCTCCCCGCGGTGCAGGAGGCCGGTCCATGGGGGGCTCCCTTCCCCGGGCAGCGCGGTGGCGGTGCGGGCACCCACGAGGGACCGCCACCTCCCCGGGGCGGCGCGCACGCCGCTGCCCGGCTGCAGGGGACGGGGAGGGCGCCTCCCCGCCGCCCTCTCCAGGGAAAGGCGAGCCCGAGGCGACCCGGAGAGCAGCCGCCGCACACCGCGGGCAGCCCGGCGGCGAGGCGGGCTCGGTGCGTCCCGCAGGAGAGCGCCGGCGCCGCGGGGGTGGCTCGCACTCAGGCTGGCGCTGGCCGTCCGCGGAGCCCCGAAAACTTGGGGGCGTCCCGGGCACCCGGCGGGCGGTCCCGGGGAAGGAGCCAGCCCGGGAAGGCGGCGACGGCTGCGGGGTAAGTGTAGAGGCTGGGGAGGGCGAGGTGGGGAGGGCAGGAGAGCCCCACCGGGAGTTTGGCGGCGGCCCTGCCCCGCTCGCCGCTCCCCTTTTGTCCTGGCGGCGACGTCTCCGCCGTAGGGGTGGCCCGTCCCGTCCGGCCCTCGCCCCCGGGCCGGTCCCGCCAGCGGACGAGGCACTGGTGAGACCCCCGCTCCCCCGCGCGGCGTTACCTGCGAGGACACGGAGCCCGCGCGGCATCTCCCACCCGGGAGCGAAACTCTCCCGCCCGGCGAGCCCCGAGCCGGAGCGGCCGGCGGGGGAGGGGCCGCGGCGGCTGCGCCTCCGGGAACATCCCCGCAGCCCATTGGCCGTCGCCCCGCCCCGCCCCTCCATGGCCCCGCCCCCCAAGGCAGACCCGCGCGTTCATTGGCTGCGGCCGCGGTGACGCGCGGCGGGCGGGCCTGGGAGGGCGGAGCCGGGCGCTCGCTCGCGGAGGCAGCGGGGCCGGTGCGGGTCGCTCCCCCTTCATCCCAAACTCCGCACCCCGCGAGCAGGCGGGGCCGGGCGGGCTCCTGGCAGCGCCCGCCGTCACCTGCGCCGCGTTCCCGGTGCGCGCCCGCCCAGCCCCGGCCGTGGTCCTGGTCCCGCGCATCTGGCTGGCCGCGGCGTGGGGGGCGGCTCGGGTGAGCCGGGGAGAGCGGGGACCGCCCGGCACGGGGGCGGGAGAACCGCGAGCACCGAGTGCCCCCTCCTCTCGCAAAGGCGAGGTTCCTGCGGCGGCGGGCGTGCGCGGAGCGAGGATCCCCCCGGGAAGCTGACACAGAGCCAGCGGGGCGGTGTCGGGGTCTCGCCGCCTGGGACGGGTAGTGGGTGAGCTGGCAGAGCGCTCCAGCCTTTCTGTAAGAGGCTCTCGTCCTTCTGGTGTTGTAGGTGCTCTCCGCAGGACAGGTACTGTAAGGAGACAGCAAAAAGGCTGTATCAGGTGTAGTTAATTCTCACGTTTAAACATCAACGCGATTTCCTTGTAAGAAAGTGTGATTAAACATTGAACTGGTAGCACCAATTGTTCGGCAGAAGCTTCTTTAAAAAAACCCATTAAAATCTTAATATGCTGAAATTGGATGAGGACTCCTGACTCTGTGCCAGGGAGTGACATACAACTTGGAGTGGGATTTTTAAAGATGTTTGCATTATCAAGCGTCAAATTAACAAGGTTATTTCATGGCTCCTTTGAGGCTTTAACTCTCGAGTGGAAACACTGCTTTGGGAGGGCTTTGGTGGCTGCCACCCATAACTGTCTGCTGACACCTGCTCTGGAACATCTGCTCTGCAACATGGGCAGCTCAGCTTCGTGTGAGGCAGCAGCTGAGCCAGCACAATTGCCAGGCTCCTATATTATTCAGCTGTGTATGTGGAGCGCCTGCTTTTAAGATGGAAGTCTGTAACTTGTGCCTGTTAAACAGCTACCATAAAGCGTCTGAGGTGCTTCTTGGTTGTGAAGCGCTGGAAAGCTGTCGGCCTGCTGTCATCAAGCACTCACAGCTCTGTGAACTGATTGCAGACTTCTGGTGCCTGTGGTACAAGAGCTAAAATAGATACGTAAAGACCTGCAAAGCAATAAATTGAGCCTCCTGCTTTAAAATGATCTTGTCTATTCAGGCTTTGTCCCTGATTTAGTGGTCTAAGTGGGCACGATGAGGAAGCTTTGTGTTTCACAATTTGCCATCATGAAGTGGTAAAAGTGAAAGATGTCTTTATGACTTTTGGGTCATTTTGCCTTATAAATGCAAGGTAAAGCATGAGATAATTAACAAAAGAATGTTTCTAGGTTTCTGCTTCTACAATCCAAAGCATTGGATTTATATCACTTCCTGAAAACGTAAAAATAGCTGATTTGACATATTATTTCATGATTAGGAAGTGCTGGTTGATGTTTCCTGACATTTCCTTTCTGTTTCAACTTCCACCCTCCAAATATCACACGTATGTATTATCAAGTTAAATTCTTGTCAACAAGAATTCTCAAATTCAACAATCTTCCTGAGATTACAATACTTAATAGAATTTTAAATTGGTTTTTGCTAGTGGAAGAGCCCTGACTCAGAAAAGATGGGCCCAATTTAGAAAGAAATTCCTTAGTTAGAAAAGGCAGTATATAATGAATTCAGTCTTATCTTCTATAACTTCTAATGAAGTAAATGAAATTTCAGTTCATGCTTAAGTTTGCCCATATGTAAGAGTTTATTTTAATTTTAAGCATATGTAAATATATGTAAGGTTCTGTGAATCAAGGTTGAGATTTTATTCACCAGACTCACTGTTACAATTGCCAGACAATTATATTTTTTGACTCACTTTAACATTTCTGTGTTTTGTTCCCATAGCTAGTTTGACTTTATCACATTTGCTGATGTATTTATTTCTACTAATGGCCTATTCAAATCAAATATTCTCCTTCATAACGCCTTTGCTCACATTTCTTGGACATCTGCACATCCTTGATCTGTACTGTATAACTGGAATTTCATTTGTTTGGTGTGTTTGCTGGTATCATCAGTTCTGGTCAAGTATATATGTATTTCCACATAGCCAGATGCACAGATGGTGTAAATCACCTCATCACCACTTATGTCAATACAACAATAGTGATTAACGTTTCCATATGAAATAGTTAACACATGCAGAAAGCTGTGCTTCCCCTTATTTTCCATTTAGAAATAACCATTTTTTTAGGGCTTTATTATTTTGCTTTTTATAAAGAGCAGCTTTTATGATGACCTTCTGTTCTGCTTTAATTAATATGAAGAACTGCAGAGCAAATACCTGTTCTGGAGAGCTCCCTAGTTCCCTCAAAATCTGATTCAAATCAGCTACAGTTGCATAATTTATCTTCAGTCTGCTTCTTTGGAGGGTTATTACAGCATTTCAATTTGAAGCGGTTCCTAAATACAACACTTTTTTTTTTTTTTTTATCTGCAGTTTCTGGGAGGGTTGTGTATATGAAGTATCTCCTCGCTCTGTAGTTTTCTCAGCGTGCTAAATTGATCTGCCTAAGTGGCTATTGCATCCTTATTTTTAGCAGCCTGCCACTGCAGATCTGCCCAAAGGCCAGCCTTGCTCTTGTAAGAAAGGAGTGTGCAAAACCCATTGTATTTCAAGGGATCAGCACTTGACAGTATCACAGTGACTGCAGACAAGAGAATAAAATGTCAAGGGCTGTGGTAATGCAGGATTGAACCAAAATGGTTCAGAAGCTAAGGTTGTTTTTGGAACAGCTGTGTCTTCTCCATGGCCTGGATTTTGCCATCATAAATGTGGCTGTGGCCACTGAGAGTCACTGCTTGTGCCTGCAGATAACCAGCTGCTCCCTGCCTGTTCCATGGCTGGGGCATGCACAGGCATTTTATATGAAAATATTTTCATAAAGGATAGGCATATTTTCCCTACTGTTGTTAATAATATTTTGATGGTGTCTTCCTCCAGACAGCTGGTGTCCCAATTAATTACACTGAATGAGGCATTTTAAGTAGCAGGTCTTAGGCAGCTTGTTTTGTGTGTCATGTATTGTACAAGTGTGTGTGTGTCTATAGGTACACATATGTATATAGAGACAGGCAAACTCATATGCCTGCTGCAGTTGCAATGTTGATCAACTGTAAGTCATAAAAACAAAACAGAAATGAAACAAGTTAAATGAGATTGTTGCAAGAGGAGTGCAATGAATGGAGTCTTGTTTCCTGTTTTTTCTGTTTCATTTTCCTACACCTTGCTTTACTAACTGTGGTTCCCCTCATGGCCCATTGTAAGTCATCCTCATTAAGATCCCTCTGTATTCCTGACTTTGCTTTTTGGCTTGCCACCTGTTTCATGTTCACTTTATTCTATGACTGACCAGAGCTATGAGTGTGTTTCCTGGTGAGCAGCCTGCCCAGACTTCCTGGCCAGGCAGTCACCACGCAGAATTGCTGATAGCTGGGTCTCTCTGTGAAAGTGTCCATCAAGTTGCTGCCATTTACACAGCCATTATGGGCTTTTTTTATGAAACATGCAGGAACTGAACATGCTTGAGGCTCCTGTACTTTGATAACTCTGGATTGAAGGGAACAGAAGTTATTGGAAGAAGATTGACAGAAAGAACCTACGACTCTAATTTTCTTTAGAATTGAGGCTTCCAGTGAAGTACTGAATCCTTTAGCCCTGCTACTGTAGACATGTCCCTGCTCGTTGGTTGGCAATGAGCAGGGAATTGAAGACTTGCTGCTACTATGTTTTGCTGCTACTAAAATGTTTAGGGTAGAGTTGAAGGATTATGGCTCACAGTCTTAAATTGTGTTAAAAGTATATGCTTAATCATACATTCTCCTTCCCCTAAAAAAGTAGATAAGAAATATGTTTTAAAAACAGTTAATTCTGAATATGAGAATTATACTCTGTGGAATGTGTTAATTTTAATAAAAAATGAAAATGTAATAGGTCAGAGACTTGTGGATAACAAAGATTCCACTATTCTGTTGTTCTCTGGACCATAAGAATACTCATCACTACTTCTCATTGTAGTACTTTAGACATAGTATAAGCTATACTTCAGCTTTTATGGGAAAAATAGAAAACTGTCTATCACTAATCAACCTAAACCTTTCAAGGAAAGTACCAGTGTAGTTATGCCAGCTTCAACAAAGTCACCATTAATACTGAACTATTTCACTCTGTGCATCTGCCAGCTTTTTGTTAGAGAAAATACACCTCTTTTTGCCAGACAATGAAATTAAAATAACTATCTGTTCTTGACACAAAGAAGCAGAAGATAAAAAATTTAAATGGAAAGTGGAGCTCCTAAATCATTTTCAAAGATTCTCAAATTCCCTTCCTAAAATTATTTCAAGCTGTATGAGGAAAAAATTGGAGACACAGTCTGAATGATTGCATGTGCTAACATTATGATTTAAGAATATTTCCAAGTTTTACATTTTAAAATTGTATTGTCCTAATTGAGGGGCTGTACTAGCATCTCTGCTGTCAGAATCAATTTGTAATTCATTACTTTTGTCCTCCAGTTTAATAGTGTTTAAACTACACACACATACACAAATATAAATAAAAATAGGCACTTTTAAACACTGCTGTATCTACCTTAAGGTTAAGTTGATTAGAACTTTAATGTACACTTTATAAAATTGAATTGGGCGATACCTTAGAGGATTAGGAAAATTACAATCTACTGCAAAAACTTTCCAGCATCTAAAGATGCATTGAAAAGCATTCAAAACCCTGGTCAGAGCACCAGAAAAATTATTTGCCTTT